CTGGTTGATTCTGTTGCTTAACTTGTTGAGAAACTGCCAAACTTTTTCACAGTTGGACTTGTACCACTTTATGTCCACCAGAATGCACAAGGAGTTGCAATGGTGCCACATCCTTGTCACACACTGTCATTTCTGCTGATGTATTACTATTACTGCATCCCTAGTATGTGTCAAGTAGTATCTCGATTGTGGTTGTATGCATTTCCCTATGCTAGTATTTGTTGAACATCTTTCAATGGTACTCTTGGCCATTTGTATTCTCTTTTGGAGAAGTTATTGTAATTGATGCGTGTCGAAAGTTGAGCATGAAAATGCCTTACCACATTTTTCCTTTCTTTCATTAGTGTTTATATGACCTTTCTCCAGTTTATTATCTTTTAAACATGCTATGATCGATTTTATATGGATAAATTTTATAGCCTGTGCTTTTCTTACATTGTATCAAACATGGGTTTGCAAATTATGGCCTGCCTACTAAAATGTTTATAAAGGCAAGACATAACATACAGGTTTTCCTTATTCCTCGTGGAGTCTAGACGTCTAGATTTTAGCTGTGTAAATAACACTGTTCTAAATGGTCTTTGGGTAAAGATGTGCCACATTTTACATTAGTGTCCGTTAGATTTTCCAAAGAAATGAATTGGCTTACTAAAAAATATATAGAAAAAATTAGCCGGGTATGGTGGTGCATGCCTGTAGTCCCAGCTACTTGGGAGGCTGAGGCAGAAAAATTGCTTGAGCCCAGGAGTTTGAGGTTGCTGTGAGCTAGGCTGATACCAGGACACTCTAGCCCAGGCAACAGAGTGAGACTCTGCCTCAAAAAAAAAAAAAAAAAAAAGCGAATACTATGAACAATTATATGTACATAAGTTTGACTACTTAGATAAAATGTACCAATTCCTTAAAAATTGTAGATTACCAAAACTCACCCAAGGTGAATTATACAACCTGGATATTCCTATAACTATTAAAGAAGTTAAATTTATAGGTAAATACTTTCTGAAAAAGAAATATCTAAGCACAGATGATTCACTGACAAATTCTACCAAACATTTAAAAATTCTATATAATCTCTTCCAGAAATAGAAGAGGAAGGAATATTTCCCAACTCATTCCATGAGGCAAGCTTTACCCTGATACTAAAACCAGACAGATGATAGAAGAAAACTACAGATCAAGACCCCTCAGGAAGATAGACACAAACATCTGCAGTAAAATATCAGCAAATCAAATTCAGCAAAATATGAAAAGACTAATATACCACAACCAAGAGGAGCTTATGCCAGGAATGCAAGGCTAGTTCAATGCAATTAGCCTTCTGTACCTGCAGGTTCAGCATCTGTGGATTCAACCAACCATGGATTGCAAATATTTGAAAAAATAAAATAAAAAACCAGCAATGAAAAATGCAAATAAAAATATATTATTTACATAGCATTTATATTGTATTAGGTATTATAAATCACTAGAGATGATTTAAAGTACAAGGGAGGATGTGTGTAGGTTATATGCAAATACTATGTAATTTTACATAAGTGACTTGAGCATTGGGGAATTTTGGTATCCACAGGGGTTCCTAGAACCAATCTCCTGTGGATACTGATGGATGACTGTATTTGAAAACTCAGATCAGTGTAAGCTACCACATTATCAGTCTAAAGAAAAAAATAAAATAATGGGATACAACACAGCGATGAAAAGGAATGGATTATCAGGACATAAAACAGTTGGAATGAATCTCAAAGGCATCATGATGAATGAAAGAAGCCAATGTAGAAGATCATATTGTGTTACTTCATTTACAGAATGGCCTCAAATAGACAAAACTAGAGTGATGGGGAACAGATTGATGGTTTCCAGGGATTGGGGAGGAGGAGGATACTAGTCAGAGTTTTGGGGCATGATAGAGCTGATTTGTATCTTGAGTGTGGCGATGGTTACAAGAATCTATATATGTGTTAGAATGTATGGACCTGTATACAAAAAAGAATCAATTTAACTATATGATAACTTAAAAAATAGAAACACAAAATAAAAGACAACAAAGGGTTACTGAATGTGGAAAACCACTACTAGCCTGTCCTGATTATCTGTATACCTTTCCCCAGACAAAAATCTCTCTTTCCATCATGCTTTGCTTTTATTCATTTATTTATTAAATACAGACTTATGCAGCACTTAATATGTGCCACACAATTTAAAATAACTATGAAATAATTCTGACTGATGGGAAGAACTCAAGACAGGCAATCTTTTCCCTTCTGTGTTTTAAGTAGGAAATTTATCTCAACGATATATTTATAACACTAAAAAAATTATCAAAGCAATGCTTGGAGAACAAAGTTGTTTTTCCATAAAACCTTGTGAGATGGGGAAGGTATATTTTAGAGATGGAGAAACTGAATTGAGATTCAAGGAGGCTGAGTGACAGCCCTAATTTAACGGAGTGTGGAGTATTAAAACACAATGCTTCAAATGCCCAGGCAAGGGCTTTAAATCTGTTTCACAATGGTTTGTGTTAATGTTGCAATATGTTTCAAGATTCTTAAAATTGTTCAGACCTCTGTACCAGTTATTCCACTTCAGAAAATCTAAGGACATAATGTAAATGTGGGCACATCTTTACCCAAAAGACATTTAGAACAGTGTTATTTACCACAGCTAAAATCTAGACGTCTAGACTCACAAGGAATAAGGAAAACCATGTATGTTATGGTCTTGCTTTTATAAACATTTTAGTAGCAGCATAATTTGAAACATGTTTGATACAATGTTAAAGGAAAAGCACAGGCTATAAAATTTTACATATAAAATGATCATAAGCATGTTTTAAAAAGATAAATAACCCTGGAGAAAGGCCATATAAACATAGATGAAGAAAGGAAAAATTGGTAAGGCATTTTCATGCTCAATTTCGACAGCATCAAAAATATACATAACCTTCTCCAAAGAAGATATACAAATGGCCAAGAAGTACATGAAAAGATGTTCAACAAAATTAGTCATTAGGGAAATGCAAATCACAACCACAATGAGATACTACTTGACACATACTAGGATGGCAGTAATAGTAATAATAGCAGAAAATGACAAGTGTTGACAAGGATGTGGCACCGTTGGAACTCTTGTGCATTGCTGGTGGGAACATAAAGTGGTACAGCCACTGTGGAAAACAGTTTGGCAGTTTCTCAAAAGTTAAGCACAGAATCACCATATGACACAGCAATTCTACTCCCGAGTGTCTACCTAGGGGAACTGAAAACAGCCGCTCAAGCAGGTGCTTGTACTAGTGGCACCATTTATAGTGGCTAAAGGGTGGAGGCAGCCCAAGTATCCATCAACTGATGAATGGATCAAGCATAATGGAATATTATTCAGCTATGAAAAGAAATGGAGTGCAGATGCAAGCTGCAACATGGATGAGTGTGGAAACATTATGCTGGGTGAGGGAAACAGGTTGAGGTTGTACAATACCATTTATATGAGTGTCCAGAATGGACAAGGCCATGGAGAGAGATAGTGGATTCATAGTTGCCAGGAGCTGGCAGGGGTGGGGTGAGGATAAGGTGGTGGGTGTGGCGTTTCCTTTTAAAGTGATGAGAGTGTTCTGGAAGTAGATAGTGGTGATGGTTGCATGGCACTGTGAATATACTAAAATCACTAATGGTAAATCTTAGGCCTATTTTACCAAAATAAAAAATATATACAGTACGAGTGGTGTGTGTGTGGTGTTGTATATATAGCTATATTATTATAGAGGAGAGAGAGAGAGAGAAATTCTTACACACCAAATTCTATCAGGATCTGAGGAGGGAGGTGGCGGATACCTCGAGGTCAGGAGTTCAAAACCAGCCTGAGGCAAGAGCGAGATCCCATCTCTACTATAAATAGAAAGAAATTAAATTGGCCAACTGATATATATAGAAAAAATTAGGGCATTGGCGCATGCCTGTAGTCCCAGCTACTCGGAAGGCGAGGCAGTAAGGATTGCTTGAGCCCAGGAGATGAGGTGCTGTGAGGCTAGGCTGATGGCACGGCACTCACTCTAGCCTGGGCAACAAAGTGAGAGTCTGTCTCAAAAAAAAAAAAAAAAAAAATTCTATCAGGATATTTTTCTTAAAAAAAAATCATGAATGTGTCAAGGATTTTACAACAATGGGATTCACTGTGTAAGTATCATTGCTGTTATAAACAATGGCAAAATTTTGAAATTACCTAAATGCCCAACCAAAGGGACTCAGTTCAATGAATGCGGCTACACATGAGAATGCTATGTAGTTACTAAAACTTATGTTATAGAAGAGTTCAATGACAGGATGCTGATGCAATTCAAAGTGAAAAAAATCAAGTTACTTCCTCTTTCCAAAGCGTGTGTACATAGAAGTATATTCTGTGTACATACACAGAACAAGACATGAAAGGGCTCTATATCAAAGGGGTTAACAGAGGTTAGCACGGGATGGAATTAATTATGATTTTAGTTTTCTCCAAAATAGAAAAAGTGCTAATAATTATTTGTCAAATATCTTTCACTGTTCTAAAGTGTGTCATTAAATTGTTTAATTCTTACTAAAGAACCTTTTTGGGCAGTAAAGTAACTTCTTCAAGGTCGCCCAGCTGGCAAGTGGTGAGCCGGGATTCAAACCCAAGGACCATGGCTCCGGAGAATGAGATTGTAACCACTATGCAATTAATATAAGATCTTTTTGTTTAATCTACAGATTCCATATTTTCTATGATGATCACATTTGGTGATACAAGAGGAAAGAAAGTTATTTTTAAAACAATCAGTTGTTTTGAAAATAATCGTAAGAGCTGTCATCATTGTGGGGATGGAATATGGATATTTTTTAATTGTCCTATTTGTCCAGGTTTTCCAAGTGTCCTTTCATGAACAGGCATTGCTTTTAAAGTGGAAAGAAAAAAGACCTCTCAAATAAGGAAACTCTAACCATGGTGCCAGACTTTAAAAGCCATGGCCCAAAGGAAAAGTTCATCACCCCTCCAAGGCCAGGGACCCTGTAGACGCACTGCATATGGACCAGGGGCAGGAGGGGGTGCGGGCAGGAGGGGGTGCGGGCAGGAGGGGGTGCGGGCAGGAGTCCCCAAGTGAACTCAGCAGGTGCGGCCAGAAGCAGGCACCTCCCACGCCCTCGCCAGTGGAGCGTCCCCATCCTTACCTTGCAGGGCCTCCTCGTGTTTTCCTTCCAGAACCCTTCGCTGCTCGTCCAGTCTCTCTTGAAGCTCTAGCCCCCTCTCCTTCTCCACCTGGGGGGCAAGGGGCCGGAGCGGGGTTGAGATGCAGTAGGCTCAGACAGCTTCTCTTATCCACTCCCTGCATGCAGGGGCTACCAGGAGCCTGGCGGCCACAGTCCCACCCTCTCCTCTGAGGGATGGGAATGACACGCCCAGAGAGAGCACGAGCCTTCCAAGACACAGCAGGCATGGCAGACTTTGTCCTCTTTAGGGCTTAGCCTCGCTTAGGGGTTTCCCAGAGAATTATCTACGTGGAAAGGGACTTAGGAGTCTTCTAATCCTGATGCTCACCCAAGGCAGGAAGCCCTTGGCTGGCGTTTCCTCTGCTTGCATACACCGAGTGACAGCTCCTTCCCCCTCCTGGCTTCGGATTCTGACCATGCCTAGGGCTTACTGTTACAAGTGACCTCTCGCTTCTACCACCAGGTCCCAGATCTGTTCTCTAGGGTCACACAGAGCCAGGCTGCTCGCTCAGCCCAGGCAGCCCCTTAGGGACCAGAGAAACAGCAGCCGCATTGCCAGTGTTTCTCTTCTCGGGGCTGAATGCTCCCAGCCATTCTCCCTGTGCTGCACCTGAGATGGTTTCTAGGCCCTTCGCCACCTACAAGGGTACAGCCCGTGGGCACACCCAGAGGCAAGGCACAATTTAGAGAGCTCTAGCCTCAGCCCGCCACTGAGTTCCTATGTGTCCTGGACCAGCTCCCTCTCCTGTGTAATGAAGGGACTCAACTTGATGGCCCCCAGGGACCCTTTCCAGTCTCCTGGTTAAGGATTCCATGGGTAAAGGTCAAGGCCAAATGACATCAGGACGGCTACTCTACCAAAACAAACTGCAGAAGACCTGCAGACACATACAGTTAACCCACCTTTCATAAAAGGTGTTCCTGAAAAATGTATCTAGGCAAAGCATGTTTTAATGTATTTAGGGTACTCACTGCAGCCTTCCACCTTGGGGGCAGCGTCTGGGCTCTATTCCTCCCTGTACCCCTTCTAGTGCCCGAGGCAGCCCCTCCCTGCACACTGGAAGTCCTCAGTGAGTGTGCTGAGTGAATGGAATCCAGAGGAGACTCTTTAGTACAGGTTACCATACAATTTAGGCCAGGCATGGTGGGTGGCTCACGCCTATAATCCCAGCACTTTGGGAGGACAGGATCACTTGAGGCCAGGAGTTCAAGACCAGCTTGGATAACATAGCAAGACCCTGTCTCTACAAAAAATATAAAAATTAACTGGGCATGGAGGCATGTGTTTGTAGTCCCAGCAACTTAGGAAGCTGCGATGGGAGGATTGCTTTAAGCCCAGGAGTCTGAGGTTGCTGTGAGCTGTGATGACATCACTGCACTCTAGCCTGGGCTTGCAAAGACTCTGTCTCAAAAACAAAACAAAACAAAAAGAGACTCATACAATTTAATAGAGCAATTAGTTTATAACTAGAGACAATTTTTAAAAGAGACTTTAAACTTCTGAATTTTGAATATTTATACTGAACATGTTTCATATTTACAATTTAAAATAACCAGTTAAGATGATGTGGAGGAAACTTTGTACTCTACCCTAAGATCATTCCTACTGCTCTACCATCTCCCTCTCCTAAGGGAGGAGCGTGAGCAGGGGTTAGTGACCAAGCTAGAATGGGGACAAGGAAATCCCAGGCTGTGAGCTGCCTTTAGTTGTGACAGCTCTTCAGTGTCCTTTAGCCGGGAATTGTTCCTCAGTCTTTCCTCATGCACCATGACCTTGACATTTGACTGATACAGGCTAGAAATTGTGCACAAGGTCCCTCAGTTTTTTTTATTTATTTATTTATTTATTTTTTTTAAGGTCCAAAGACAGTAGTAGGTCCCTCAGTTTTGACTTTCAAATAATTTTAAAAATCTCAGTGTTACCTCCTCAAAGAGGCCTTGTCCAATCCCACAGACTTGGCTAAGGGCTTCTAGGATGCCCTTTCACAGCAATCTAAACTTTTCATAGCGCTGATAATTGTCACAAATAATTGTGTAAATTGTGTTTAGCATCTGACTTCCTGTTCTCAGTCAGGATAGGCTAAATTATGCTGCCATAACAAACAGCGATAAAGTCTCGGGGGCTGAAACAAAAGGCTTATTTTGCACTCACTACATGTCCATTTTGGGTGCCCGGGGATTACCCAGGATACAGGGATAAAGGCTGATGGAGCGCCCATCTGGACAACGCTGTCAGTTAGCTAGACAGAAAGACCTCGAGGGTCTCCTTCCCTGGCAGAAGGAGTAAAAGACCGTTACAGCAACAATAAAAGCCCAAACCAGGTCCTCACTCTGGGCTATACCAAGGTTAGCTGAGCGGGAGGGGTTGGGGTTACCTGGGCTTACCTGCTGTGCCCATTTCTTCTTCTCCTCTTCATGTTGCTGGAGAATTCTGGCTATGTTCTTCTGGTGCTGCTCGGCGTCCTCAGACACGCAGAGCTGGACAGTTACGGCTACAGGTGACAAAGCAAAACATTCACACAGAGCGGAGGTGGGGTCAGGGCCGGCAGAGAGGGGGTGGGAGGCTGGAGCTAAGCGATGGGAGCCCTGGTAGATGGCTTCCGTTGGGGACCAATCTCCGGAGACAGCCCCTCCAATCTCCCGGGCTTTGGAGACCTTTCCTCCAGGCAGAAGCCGGAGGTCTCCTTCCGCCCGCTAGTATCCACAGCTGGGCCAGTAGTCACAGGACAGATTCGGCCCAGAGACGTGTTCTGCTTGCTCCACTCAAACTCAAGGAAAAAATAGTGACTGATACTTAACAGCTGGGAAGCTTTTGCTTAATAATACAAATTTCCAACTTTTCTGGAGGAATCCAAAGAACTGGTAGTGCAGGCCTTCACGTCCACCAGGGGCTGGGGCTCAGAAGCAGCTGCGTCCTCCTTCGGCCGGGACGTGGCTCTGGGGTTGGCCGCAGCCTTCGCCTCCCCCTGCCAAGCCTGTGTATAGCGGGCCACCGCGGCGGCGTTTGCTTTGCCTGCTGGGCCTGTGAGCACCGAGTGTGTGGCCCCTCACCTTTAGCATCTCCTCGGCTGGAGGCGGAGGGGCTGCTTATTTGCAGGAAGGAGACACAAACAGGAAGTCTCGCCCTGGCTTAGGGAAACTCCAACGTAGGCCTCACCAATGCCCTAGGGCAGTGACCATCCATCTCTGTGCCTCAGTTACCCAATAAGTGAGGTCAGGATAATTATGGGACCTACATCCTGAGGCTACTGAGATGACTAAATCAGAGAAGAACCGCAATAAAAATAACCAAAGCAGGTGAGCAGAACTGAGAGCTCCCAGTGCCTACAGCATGCCCAGAGCTGCCCCAAGTACCTTATGGGGATTACTCACCTAATCCTCACAGCAACCCAGTGTCATGGGTACTGTTATTATCCCCATTTACAGATGAGGAAACCGAGGCGCAGAGAGGTTATACAACTTGCCCAAGATCATCCAGTGCACAGTTGGGGGAGCCAGGAGGTGAACCTATGCAGTCTGATTCTATGGCAAACACTCCCAGCTACCTCTCTACCCTGCCTGCTCGTGCATGAAAAGACATGTAGTCCCGGGCACTTTGGGGGTGCCCAATAGATGTTCTTTATTGCCCACTAAATGTCCTCTAAATTTTTAACAGTGCTCATGATAAGCCTTAGAGGTTAATATAAGTGCTGTTAGCATTATGATCAGAGAACTTCCTGGCAGGGTCTGGCAGAGGGTATGGTAGAAAGGTGAGGATGAGGGAGAAGCCAACACTGAGGTCAGTCCCGTCAGGACAGGAGGAGGACTGAGGTGGTGTCCTTGAGTCCTGAGCTCCCAGAGGCCGTGAGCAGACAGAGGTTAGGTGGTAGCAATGGTCAGGACTAGAGAGACATGGACTCTCACAAACCATTTGGCTCAAATGTTGTCCATGAGATCAGTACCCAACTGGCCTCAGCCGGAGAGAAGCTTATTAAAAAGATACATCCTTACTAAAAGTCCAGATGCTTCAGCCCGGCTCCCAGAGATTCTTATTTAGTTGATCTGTGCTAGGTCCCCAGAATCTGTATCTTTGACGTTCCCAAGGCAATTGTTATACACAGAGTGGAGGACCCTGAATCTGCTCCGATTGCTTACCTGGTACTTACACTTCACCTACAGTATCCCTAACAGCCTGGAGGCTGTAATGGAACACCTTCGGAGACAGGGAGCTCATTCTATTACCAGGGAGCTCTGATGGTTTTACACCAACAACCACACAAAAAACTCTTTGAGATTGAGCTGGATTCTGTCTGCATGTTGTTGCTACCTTGAGGCCCTGCTACTGACCTCTGGGTCGCACTAAATGAGGCTCATTTTTCTTCTCCATTAGGGAACTTCAGACACTTGGAGGGAACTATTGTTTCATGGCAACATCTTCTTTCCAGATGGAACATTCTCTATTTCTTCCACTGTTGCTTAGGGGACATGTTTTTTAGATTCTTCACCAGCCTGATCTTCCTCCAGCGTATTCCCTTAAAATTTTCTGGATCCTTCTGAAAATATACTTTCCAGAACTATATCCAGCACTCTAGGAGTGATGTCAACAGCCCAGAACAGGAAAGCACAGGTCAGGACTATCAACTCCCTGATTTTAGAGATGATACCCCTATTAAGGTAACCTATCTATGATCTCACGTGCTATTTAAGGAGCTATACCGCCTTTGTTGATTATAAGGTAGGAAACCACATAGATGTCAGTGGGGACACATGGAGCTGGCTACTCACCTGTGTCCCCATTGAGGGGACCTAGTTCCTGGGGCTCTGGTCTGGGTGGCTGATCTGGTTCTTGGCGCCTCTGTAAGTAATGAGACAACAATAGGTGAGGGGAGAGGGTGGGAGGTCAATGTGAGGATGGGATTCTTCCAAAGGCAGAGCAGGACTGTTAGTTACTCCAGACACCAGGCTGCCTCATGCCTGGACCATTTAGACTATCTCCGTCATGTCCCCCCACCCCCGAGGCATCACCCCCTCTACCTGGCGACATTCCCAGAGCAGGATTTCTCACCCTTGCCAGGGACACTCTCGGTGGAGAGTTTGATGCGTCTTGACCTTTCCCTAGATCCTCATGGTCTGGCTCCAGCTGCCACCTAGGGGGGCCTCCCTGCCTACCCCCTTTCTTCTCCCAGGATTTGGCAAGACCTTCCGCTATTACCTTCACCCAGCTAGGGTCTTGAAGTGCCCTAAAACCTCCCAATTTCCAATTCAGAGATGGTTCCCCTTTCCTTTCAGAGTCTACGGCTGCCCCAGCTTCCAGCCACGTTCGCCTCAAGGTTAAGTGCTATCAGGGCCAGAACATCAGAAGCGTCAAACCCTGATTTTACCACACTGGTTCTCTGGTAAAGGAGCTGTCTCCGCAACTGTAAAATAGAGACAGTGGCACTCGTCTTGCCGGATGGGAGTGAGGTATGACATTCAGGAGGTACCAGATGCTATGCTGTCTTGCCTACACTATCTTAGTTAATTTTCAGAACCACCTTAAGATATATGAATATCCCAAATTTAAAGATGAGGAGGCTAGGCTGAGCGAGATTAGGATTCAATCAAGGTAGCTTAGGGGATAATTGGCTGAGTCAAGTATTTGAGCCAGACCTAGTGGACGCTTGAACCAATCATGGCCAGTGTTGGCTGAATCCGATCAAAGGAATAAATGATGCAAAAGGGCTTTCAACATCGCCAGGTAGTGCCAGTGGCTCCCAGATTTCATAAATGACTAATATTTTTTAATGAGAAAGTGGATATGGACTGAGAAGGGTGCTAAAAAATTATTTATAGATCACTACCCTTTTTATAAAATTTTTTATTTTATAAAAAATAAAGAACATTTTAACCTTATAGAACATAGTAAGAAAAGGCTAAAGAGCAGTCTTCCAGGAAAGGAAGCTGGCATGCTTACTCGACATCACACCCACTCATACCTTTAGTTTTCTCGCTTCACCCCAGAGAGGTGAAAAGTTGATTGAAACTGACCAGTATTTTGAGTGGAAAAAACCATTTAAGCCCTTTTACAGACTTTTCTTCGAGATGCTGGAAGGAAAGCGGGAAGGGGGAGTGGGGAAAGAGAGAGAGAGGGGGGCAGTAAGGAAGAAAAAGAAGATGTTCTAGATCCCATTTTAAGAAATACTTTTTTTTCAAATGTTTATAAATTTTACAAGAATGAGAAGGCTACGAGAATGTTCAGTTGTGAATTATCGCTCTAAAAGAAAACCTTTACTTTTTACTATGGTAACAGATTTTTAAAGGCAGTTATTAGAATAGAAATTATTAAACGTTTCCTGAACTGAAGGACTACTGAAATACCGCTAACAAGCAAACTGCGACTGCCGAGGGAAGACAGATCGAGGATAGGCTTCTGGAACAGTCTGCTCCTCCCCCACAGGGTCGGGCATGTGCAAGCCCCTGGCAAACCGGGTGAGGCACGAGTGAGCACGGTGCCTCCCCCAGGCCCTGTACCCGGTGCCTCCCCAAGGCCCTGTGCCTGCATGTGCTCCCAGCTGCTCGGGCCTGACAACTGAGCTGCCCACCCACCCTCATGAGGACCCAGCCCGCCCTTTCCAGGGGCGAGGAGGAAGCCTGGTCCAGGAGCCAGCCAGAGAAGCCGTCAACACAGGAATCTGCGGAAGTGACAGGAGCCAGCCTCCCCGCCTGCCCAGGGCTGGAGGAAGGAGGGAGACGAAGGCAAATGGTTGTCTCTTTCCTGTTGCCACCACAGGTTGCGCTGAATCTGGCAATGTTTTATGAGAGCGAGGGGGCCTGGATTCTAGTCCCAGCTCTGCTACCAGCTGGGCCAAGTCCTTTCCCCCGTCTCTGGGTTTCTGCTTCCTCCTTTGGGAAGTGGAGGTGAGGGGGTCCCGTATTGTAGGTGAACTTGATGATCCCACGATGTTTAAGCTCTGAGCTTCTAAGCTCGGCTCCTCGAGACAGCACCAGGAGGCAAAGGTTATTATTACAGATGAGGAAACTGAGGCGCAGGGGGTTGAAACTGTGCCTTCGTGTTCAAGTCAGCATTGGAACCTGGTGTCAGAATTCATTAGAGACTGCAGAGCAGAGTGGTTAAGAACTCCGGAATTCTAGAATCACACAGATCTGGGTCAAAATCCTAAATCCAACACTGTGACTGTGTGACTTCTCCAGGCCTTGATTTCCTTATGAGGTTTTTTCAAGATTAGACGAAATAATGCACCTGCAGGGCCCGCACAGGCTAAGCTCGAATGCTGCAGGGGATTATTGCTTTATGTTTGAGAAACATGGCAAGAACAAAGACCCCACAGTGCTTTGGCAGATCTCTTAGGCTGCCATGGGTCTCAGGTTTTGTAATCTGAAATAAGAGTATAAGCTCACGAAACACTGCCCTTTTGCAAATAACCACCACCACAGAATGGTGGAAAACTCCTCTCCACAAACAGCTTGCAGACCACAGGCAGGACGCGGCACCTGCCAAAATCATCCCTGGGCTAACTCCTTCAGAATGACAGTCAAAGCTCATCAGTGTCCCCAGACTGCTCCCTCTCCACTTTCTTAATATTTAAATATCTGTAAACATCTTTTTCCAGTTACATTGGCAGTAAGCATTCATTGTAGAAAGTATGGAAAATGTAGGAAAATAGAAAAAGAGAATCCCACTACCCAGATAACTACAGAACATGATGGCATAGATTGTTCAGCTACATATATATTTTCTTTTTTTTTTGAGACAGAGTCTCACACTGTTGCCTGGGCTAGAGTGCCGTGGCGTCAGCCTAAGCTCACCAGTAACCTCCAAACTCCTGCGTCAAGCAATCCTTCTGCCTCACCTCCCAAGTAGCTGGGACTACAGGCATGCGCTACTATGCCTGGCTAATTTTTCTATAATATTTAGTTGGCAATTAATTTGTTTCTTATTTTTTTAGTAGAGACGGTCTTGCCTTGCTCAGGCTTGGGTTCGAACTCCCTAGGCCCCCAGAGTGCTAGGATACAGGTGTGAGCCACTGTGCCTGGGCCCATATACCTTTCTTTCCCTTTCTTTCTTTTCTTTCTTTTTTTCTTTTCTCTTTCCTTTTCTTTTTCTTTTCTTTTCTTTTCTTTTCTTGAGAGCAGCAGTCTCACTTGTTGCCCAGGCTGAGTTTGGCTGTGCATCAGCTAGCTCACAGCAACCTCCAGAACTCCGCGGTTCAAGCCAATCCCTACTGCCTCAGCCTCCGCGAGTAGCTGTAACTACACACATGCGCCACCGATGCTGCTTAGCTTTTTCTATAGTATCTATAGTTGGCCAATTAATTTCTTCTATTTATGGGTAGAAGACGGAGTCTCGCTCTTGTCCCATGGCTGGTTTTGAACTCCTGACTCTTGAGCAATCCACCTCGCCTTGGCCTCCCAGAAGTGCTAGATTACAGCCTGAGACACTGCACCCGGCCCCCCCATGAGACATTTTTCATATTGAATAGTCTAACATTTACTTCCTTATACCTCCTTTTTTCTTTCTTTCTTTTCTTTTCTTTTTTTTTTTTTGAGACAGAGTCTCAACTCTGTTGCCCCATTTGAAGTGCGAGTAGCCGTCGCCTAGCTCACAGCACTCACAACTCTAGCTGAAAGTGAGATTCCTTCTGCTCAGCACCATCCGAGTAATTGGGACTACAGGCACGTGCCATCATGCTGGCTAAGTTTTTGGTAGAGGTGGGGTCTTACTCTTGCTTAGGCTGGTCTTGAACTCCTGACCTCAAGTGATCCTATTGCCTTGGCCTCCCACAGTGCTAGGATACAGGTGTGAGCCACCAAGCCCGGCTTCTATTTTTTCAAATATATTCTTAGCATTTAATACACAGCACTAACTATTCTGTAAATTTACTAATTTTAATGATGAGTTGAACATCCCTATGGATGAATTTAGTCATTCAATCTACTGTTGAGTGTTTAGATTATTTCTAATTATTAATTTGCAAATTATGCTTTAATGAACATACTAATTTATAAAATTTTTTATACATCTAACATCATTGGCTCTGTCCTTCAGAAAGCTTCTCCCTATTTACTCACCCACAAAAGGCACACAAGAAGGCCAGTTTCATCACAATGTGCCAGTATGGAATATTATCACTTTTTAAAAAATGTTGGCAAATTTGCTAAGTCAAAACCAAACCAAACCAACCTAGTGCTACCGATTGTGCTCCTGGCCCCAGCACAGGCATTTGTGTGCTCAAGACATCCCACCACGACACACAGCCAAGTCTTCCCCCGGCCTCCAGGCCAGAGCACCCCATTTCTCTGCGTCTCTCCTGGCCTTCTCTGGGGCTGAGTTATGAGTCTTCCCCATGCTCCAGGTCCCCAGGAGGGTACCTACGCCTGCTTAGCTGTCTGTCTCTCCCGAGGGGCTCCTCAAGGAGAGGACTTTGAAATCCACATTGGATTTGCAAGTAGGGTACGACGCCCAGAGCAGTATTTCTTAGGAATGGGTCTCCGGATGTCCTGTGTTAGAACCACCTGGAGAGCCTGCAGAGCACAAATCCCCAGCCCCAATTCTAGACGGACACGATCCAAGCGGGAGAGCATATGTGTGCCGGGAATCTCCATTGTGAGCAGTCTATCCAGGTGACCCTGGTGCCCACAAGAGCCTGAGGACACGTGGCCCTGAGCTGGGCAGGACTGAAAGAGCCACTGCTGAATGGAAAATCCCCAGGTTGGGGCCCTGGCCACTTCCTATTCAGAGGTCAGGGCACACAGTACACCCTGCAGTGGGGGGTGGGACAGGAGCTAGGAGGGAGGACACAAGAATTTCTAGGAGGGGGCCAGGAGGGGGGCCTAGGGCTGGGGTGGGGCATCCGG